AATTTTTTAAAAATCTACGTTTCTGTTGGGCCATGAAAAAATAATTTTTAAAAAATCCACGTTTCTGTTGGGCCATGAAAAAATAATTTTTAAAAAATCCACGTTTCTGTTGGGCCATGAAAAAATAATTTTTAAAAAATCCACGTTTCTGTTGGGCCATGAAAAAATAATTTTTAAAAAATCCACGTTTCTGTTGGGCCATGAAAAAATAATTTTTAAAAATTCCACGTTTCTGTTGGGCCATGAAAAAGTAATTTTTAAAAAATCCTCGTTTCTGTTGGGCCATGAAAAAGTAATTTTTAAAAAATCCTCGTTTCTGTTGGGCCATGAAAAAATAATTTTTAAAAAATCCACGTTACTGTTGGGCCATGAAAAAATAATTTTTAAAAAATCCACGTTTCTGTTGGGCCATGAAAAAGTAATTTTTAAAAAATCCACGTTTCTGTTGGGCCATGAAAAAATAATTTTTAAAAAATCCACGTTTCTGTTGGGCCATGAAAAAGTAATTTTTTAAAAATCCACTTTTCTGTTGGGCCATGAAAAATGCATTTTTAAAAAATCCACATCTCTGTTGGGCCATGAAAAATGAATTTTTAAAAAATCCACATTTCTGTTGGGACATGAAAAATTATTTTTTAAAAAATCCACGTTTCTGTTGCGCCATGAAAAAATAATTTTTAAAAAATCCACGTTTCTGTTGGGCCATGAAAAAATAATTTTTAAAAATATCCACGTTTCTGTTGGGCCATAAAAAAATAATTTTTAAAAAATCCACGTTTCTGTTGGACCATGAAAACATAATTTCTAAAAAACCCACATTCCTGTTGGTCGTTTGAAAAATATTCTTTAAAAAATTCACGTTTCTGTTCGACATTGAAAAAATATTTTTTACATTAGCCTTTAAAAAAATATTCTTTAAAAAATCGGCATTTGATGGTTGGGTCTTTAAATAAAATATGTTCCTCCGTTCTGTAAATTCTCCAATTTCTTAAATTTTTATCATTTTTGTACGTGCCTCTTTTGTTACCATAGCCTCTCAGATCCAAGTAAACAAACAAAAAACAGAATTTACTGCTTCCAAATTTCAACTACCAATATTTAACCATAGAACAATAAAAATAAACTTTTTCCTTTGAATTCCATTTGTCTGGGCAACGGCAAGCAAACATTTATTTAAGCCAACCCCTACCCCTACACCTCCTCCACCATCACCACCTCCTAGTCGGCTGTTCATATCGCTTATGTTTATGGCACTTTTTATCTACTTTTTACCTTTATTACCTTCTATTTCCACAATAGTCCCAATATTTACCAACATTCTGCTGATAACTGTATCGCCGCGTACTACCAATAATAATAATATTACTATTATTTTGTTCTGTTCTCTTGGAAGAGCCGAAGAACAGCCAGCTACACAGCACACGTCGGAGGAGTCAGGTTGGTTGGGTTGCTGCCGTTGCCTAGAACCACTACTGTTTACCAACGAACAGAACAGCAGTTCTGGAAAACAGGGGGCCACCAACAATGCCAGCTCAGCATTTAGCTTCATCATCATCACCATCCACATCATCATCAGCAGCACTGTTGCCATCAACACCACCAGGTCTTGTTGACACATTACTTGCCCATACGTGTAGCTGTGTGAGTTTTTCTCCTCCAATGTATTGTTTGGAGCTAGAACTATTGTTTGTTTGTCGTTATCAGACATTGAGTCGCTTGGGCCATAAACTAGTAACAAAATGGTACCTTATCTCATCGTTCGAGTTACACACAGCACAGCTCGATATCATTGCAAAGAATAATTTCTGTTTTCATGATCGCACATACAGCACGAAAAAGAACAACAATAACAAACAATCCGTTTAATTATTGCACAGAACCACAAAGCAAATGTTTCTTATTCTCTTCTTCTTCGAAAGTACCTTTTGGCCTTTTCCGGTCTTCTATGAGAAGGCCTCTACTGGTCTTCTATGAGAAGGCCTCTACTGGTCTTCTATGAGAAGGCCTCTACTGATCTTCAATGAGAAGGCCTCTACTGATCTTCAATGAGAAGGCCTCTACTGGTCTTCAATGAGAAGGCTTCTACTGGTCTTCTATGAGAAGGCCTCTACTGGTCTTCTATGAGAAGGCCTCTACTGGTCTACTACGAGAAGACCTCTACTGGTCTACTACGAGAAGACCTCTACTGGCCTTCTATGAAAAGACCTCTATTGGTCTTCTATGAAAAGACCTCTATTGGTCTTCTATGAGAAGAACTCTTTTGGTCTTCTATAAAAGAACTCTATTGGTCTTCTATGCGAAGACCTCTATTGGAATTCTAAAAGAAGGCCTATTGGTCTCCTATAAGAAGACTTATTGGTCTCCTATAAGAAGACCTATTGGTCTCCCATAAGAAGACCTATTGGTCTACTAAAAGAAGACCTATTGGTCTCCTATAGGAAGACCTATTGGTCTACTAAAAGAAGACCTATTGGTCTCTATAAGAAGACCTATTGGTCTCCTTATAGAGACCAATTGGTCTCCTATAGGAAGACTATAAGAAGACCTATTGGTCTCCTATAAGAAGACCTATTGGTCTCCTATGAGAAGACCTATTGGTCTCCTATAAGAAGACCTATTGGTCTCCTATAAGAAGACCTATTGGTCTCCTATAAGAAGACCTATTGGTCTCCTATAAGAAGACCTATTGGTCTCCTATAAGAAGACCTATTGGTCTCCTATAAGAAGACCTATTGGTCTCCTATAAGAAGACCTATTGGTCTTCTTTGAGAAGACCTTCGGATATTCTATGAAAAGAAGATCTCCTGGTGCTCTATGAGAAGAAGACCTTCTGGTCTTCTATGGGAAGAAGACCTTCTGGTCTTCTATGGGAAGAAGACCTTCTGGTCTTCTATGGGAAGAAGACCTTCTGGTCTTCTATGGGAAGAAGACCTTCTGGTCTTCTATGGGAAGAAGACCTTCTGGTCTTCTATGGGAAGAAGACCTTCTGGTCTTCTATGGGAAGAAGACCTTCTGGTCTTCTATGGGAAGAAGACCTTCTGGTCTTCTATGGGAAGAAGACCTTCTGGTCTTCTATGGGAAGAAGACCTTCTGGTTTTCCGTTAGAAGAAGACCTTCTGGTCTTCCGTGAGAAGAAGACCTTCTGGTCTTCCGTGAGAAGAAGACCTTCAGCTTTTCTATGAGAAGAAGACCTTCAGCTTTTCTATGAGAAGAAGACCTTCAGCTCTTCTATGAGAAGAAGACCTTCAGCTCTTCCGTGAGAAGAAGACCTTCTGGTCTTCCGTGAGAAGAAGACCTTCTGGTCTTCCGTGAGAAGAAGACCTTCTGGTCTTCCGTGAGAAGAAGACCTTCTGGTCTTCCGTGAGAAGAAGACCTTCTGGTCTTCTGTGAGAAGAAGACCTTCTGGTCTTCTATGAGAAGAAGACCTTCTGGTCTTCTATGAGAAGAAGACCTTCTGGTCTTCTATGAGAAGAAGACCTTCTGGTCTTCTATGAGAAGAAGACCTTCTGGTCTTCTATGAGAAGAAGACCTTCTGGTCTTCTATGAGAAGAAGACCTTCTGGTCTTCTATGAGAAGAAGACCTTCTGGTCTTCTATGAGAAGAAGACCTTCTGGTCTTCTATGAGAAGAAGACCTTCTGGTCTTCTATGAGAAGAAGACCTTCTGGTCTTCTATGAGAAGAAGACCTTCTGGTCTTCTATGAGAAGAAGACCTTCTGGTCTTCTATGAGAAGAAGACCTTCTGGTCTTCTATGAGAAGAAGACCTTCTGGTCTTCTATGAGAAGAAGACCTTCTGGTCTTCTATGAGAAGAAGACCTTCTGGTCTTCTATGAGAAGAAGACCTTCTGGTCTTCTATGAGAAGAAGACCTTCTGGTCTTCTATGAGAAGAAGACCTTCTGGTCTTCTATGAGAAGAAGACCTTCTGGTCTTCTATGAGAAGAAGACCTTCTGGTCTTCTATGAGAAGAAGACCTTCTGGTCTTCTATGAGAAGAAGACCTTCTGGTCTTCTATGAGAAGAAGACCTTCTGGTCTTCTATGAGAAGAAGACCTTCTGGTCTTCTATGAGAAGAAGACCTTCTGGTCTTCTATGAGAAGAAGACCTTCTGGTCTTCTATGAGAAGAAGACCTTCTGGTCTTCTATGAGAAGACCTTCTGCTCTTCTATGAGAAGACCTTCTGCTCTTCTATGAGGAGACCTTCTGCTCTTCTATGAGAAGACCTTCTGCTCTTCTATAAGAAGACCGTCTAATCTTCTATGGAAACACCTTTCGGCCTATGTTCTTCCCTGATAAGGCCTTCTGGTCTTCTCCGAAAAGACCTTCTTGTCTTCTATGAGAAGACCTTCTCGTCTTCTTCTGATTTTTTTTTCTTGAAGTTTGGTCTTTGCCAATTACAGATTTTATAGGCCGGTGGCATTTATGATCTCGACTGTTTGGAAATTATGCTTTATAAGATTCCTTATTAGCAGCATAACTAAATAGAAACCTTATTCCTCTCAAAGTTACTTAAATAAATATTGGATCATATTTCCTAAGATAATTTTGGAAATTTGCTCAACAGTCTAGACTAAATCTTGTCCCCACCCCCAAAACTTAAAACCCACAATGTCAACCTGCCTTTTTTGCTCTAGAAAACTACATAGCTGAACTATTTCTGAGATAAAAAAACTATGAATATTCGCAATAACTTTGTTATTATGAAATAATGACAACAACAAGAACAACAAAGACATTAACAACATTATTTATCTACCAACAACACATGACACCAATACCAACAACCTCATAAAGACCCGGTGACATTTAGGCCATATGACTGGCAAAGTTAGATAAAATGAAATACTCACTTTATTCTATTTTTACCATGGGGATATTAAATCCCAAATATATCATGTTCGCAGTTTATCTTAATACCCCTGGCAAGCTAGTCATTTGCTTCTGTTCTTTCTGTTTGGAGGAGAAAATTGCTAACAAAATATTTTTTATTGCTTCTATTTACAGATCCACAGGCTAGAGACGGCGGCAGCAGTTTCAGAGTTGGATAATCAGCCAACCACCCACCCACCAAGGTTGTCAGCAATGTGACACAAAATTATGTCAAGAATAGAAGACAAATTTCCTCTCAACAATTCGACAATATACTCAAAATACTATCAAGCAATTACTGAATCACGGAACTCCCCGGATCTCTAAAGAAAATAACCTCAAATAAAACAACAAAGAAGTTCCTGTGCCCACATAACAACATGTCCAACACGAATCCCTCCAATTCGGCCTTTGTGCCGGTTCTGCCCTCACATCGTAACCCCTTGAGGGCCCCTGGATCCCTCTATGGCAGCATGATGGATGGCGATCCCAGTAAAGATCCCAAACGTGGATCAAATTTTGAAATTATGGCCATGATGGCCGATAAACGTAAGGAGTTAGCTTTAAGAGAGGCTGCTGTGGCGGCGGCCATGCTGATGCCACGCCCAGGGCAGGGGCCACCACCGGGGGTACCGGGCTCTGTGATGTATCCTCCACCATATCTGGCTGGTCCAGGACCATCTCCAACGGGAGCGGGTAGTTTTACATTTCCCTCGGGCGCGGCTGCCCTTTTTCCACCCGGTCTACCACCCTCCATGCATGCGGGACTGGATCGACGTCTGCTAAGGGCCCCTGGTAGGGCTTCACGGCCCAAAAAACAATTCATTTGTAAATTTTGTAATCGTCAATTTACCAAGTCCTATAATCTGCTGATACACGAACGCACCCACACCGATGAGCGACCCTATTCGTGTGATATTTGCGGCAAGGCTTTCCGGAGACAGGATCACTTGAGGGATCATAGGTGAGTTTCCTAATTTCCCTTAAAATTATTTTTTTATTAAATATTACCTCCCTCTCCCCCTCCCCTTTCAGATACATACACTCCAAGGAGAAACCCTTCAAATGCACCGAATGCGGCAAGGGCTTCTGCCAGTCCCGTACCCTGGCCGTACACAAGATACTGCACATGGAAGAATCACCACACAAGTGCCCCGTGTGTAGCCGCAGCTTTAATCAACGTTCCAATCTGAAGACCCATTTGCTAACCCACACCGACCACAAGCCCTATGAATGTAATTCCTGTGGCAAAGTGTTCCGGCGCAACTGTGATTTGCGTCGCCATACCCTGACCCATGCTGTGGGTGATGTGCCGGGAGAATATGTCGATGTCGTGGAAGAAGAAGATGACAATGGCCGTAATTTAAGTGGAGACGAAGAAGATTCTCTGCTGGAGGTGGACTCACCACGTAACTCCCCCATCCAACGCCATGGTTCTCCAACTCATGATTTGGATCAGGAACACGATGACGAAGATGAACTGGAGGGTGATCAACGTATCTCCATGGCGGAACGTCTGTCCCTGAAGCGTAAGGCCCAATTTGATCGTGAGGCCTTGGAGGATGATTCCGAAGATGAATTGGGCGAGGAGAATGAAGATGAAGACGAGGAAATCGCTGAAAAGGATCCCAAGGCCAATGTCAAACAGGAAATCATGGAAAAGGCCCAACGTAAGCCGGAAGACACTGTCGATGGCCACACTCAATATCAGGGTGTTACCCACTGCCATCATGAGGGTGGCACCCAATACACCATGCGACCCAGTCATGAGCTGCAACGTAATGGCGAAGAACCGGGTGGTCTCAGTAATCCCCATGGCCTTAATCCACCACCTGATTATCTAATGGCCAGCACTTCGGCAGGTATTTCCAGTTATATGGCCGGCCCAGGGCTGCCAGGACATGAGGGTAATGACCCATATATGCCATTACTGCATGTGCGACGAGATCTCCATAGCACTAAGCCAAACATGATGGCTGGACCCACCGATTTGAAAGTGCAAATACAACCCAATGGCATACCACCGGGAGTTCTGATGGACAATAACGGCAAAAATCAAGGACCGCCACCAACACAGCAACAGCCACCACAAACCCAAGTCCCACCGTCGTCAGCCCAACCACCCAGCGCCCCTCTACATTCGCCCCACGAGGCAGTGCCATCATTTTTGGGTTCCATACCCATACGCAAACGGGCCCTGGGTATGGAGTTTGAACACATGCATGCCCATGCCGCCTTAGGGCAAAGACCACCACCGCCCCCACCATTTGCCACGGCGGGTAATATGTATGCTCTCAACATGTCACGACCCCATTTGCATGCCCTGCAAAGTGCAGCTTTAAAACTAACCACCAACAATATACCGCCCACCCATTTGGGACCACCACCGCCCGGTTTGACGGCAAACAAACCCGGTCCCTATTTGCCCACCAATTATCACATACAACAAGTTGTCTCCGGGCCCGAAAAAGCCATGGGACCCAGTTTAGCAGAACCCTATATGCAACATGTCAATCGTAGCCACCTGTCCATGGAGAATAATTCTCCCACGCCAAGCAGTAATAATTCCTCCTCTTCAGCAGTAGCATCAACATCCTCGGTGTCCGTGAATACTTCCTCGTCCTCGATATCCTCCCCAGCGGCAGCAGCAGCAGCCACCGCATCACCATCCACGTCGTCGGCACACCGAAGTCACCACCACCAGTCAACATCGGCGGGTCCCTCAAACCAATCAGCCCCACCGCCGCCGCCACCACCAGCTCCTGTGGTGAAACGTTCAACTGGTTTCAGCATTGAAGACATAATGAGACGATAAACAACAAAACATCACTACTTATATTTTATGATTTATTTTGAAATATTTTTTTAGAATAAGCGGAAGTAGAAATCAATGGAGAAGTTATAGTTAAGAAAAGTTAGGTTAGGTTTGCTGGTAAGGAATAAAAATAAGGTTTAGATTTTAACAGTTGAACTCCTATAAACAGCAGAGTCGAGGCAATTACATTGAGGGAAAATCATTGGGAAATTAAAACAACATTGAAATCAGAAACTTAAAATTATTTCAAAATAGGCTTCGGAACTCAAAAAATATTTATCATAGGATCAGAAATTATTTCAGGGGACCAAGATATTCAAATACTATCTGTTTATCCATTCTTTGCTAGATATATTTCGATGTGATGATCGGTACAGTTACATTATTCTGGAATGAATTAGTTCAAAGGACATATTCTGTGAGAGGATCAACTGGAACTATGGTCAGCTTTCTGTTCCCTTTATTCATCAAGTTCCTTTGGTTCACCTAGTTTTTTGGCCTCATTCCATCCTGCTTGGCCATAAATATTTCTCTTTGCGACATAAACTTTTCTTAGTGCTCAACGGGCAACCCGGGTTTCAATTCGAACCTCCCGACATTAGTAGCTAAAATCGCCATATACTGCCGGAAATTACAGTCAATTATTTCACAGACCTTAGCAAAGGCAATTACCATTGTGAATCGTTATCTAAATCTAGATGGCACCTCACACGAACGTCTAGATGTGATTTAATTATAGATAGGAGAAATTCATTCCCATCTTTAACAAAATGGACCATTATTTCCAATAGGTATATAGTGTGTCCTTGGAGTTCCGAATTTAATACTTTTCAGGAATTGAAGTCTTTATAAAATCCTATTCCACCCCTTTTAATCATCCATACAGGAAAAAATTATATTGCGGACGATAGCAAAGACACTCCTAATAAGTGTTTTTTAATTCAAGAATAGATGGCGCCCAACGTTACTAGTATAAAAAACATTTCTCAACAAGTCTTTGATTTGGTTCCGTTCTATAATTTTCGCATTTATGTTCCATAACGATACATTTTTATATCAAGATTCCGGTTATCTATGAACCATAGCGGAGGCACTTACCACTGTAAATCCTCAGTTGTGATTTTTCTTAATTATTTCCTAGGAAGATTTCCGTCTCATCTCTAAAGATATTTTCCTTTTGATTTGAGTTTCGTTATTAATTCTTCAGGAGCTTAAGCGTGTATGAACCATATTTTTCCTATTTATTATAATCCGTGCGGCGGAAAATTGCAACACAGGTAACAACAAAGACACTCACTTCCTTAAGTCTTGATTAATTCTATAATAGATGGCGCCCAACGTTGCTTGTACCAAAATTGACACAAAACTATTAATTTTAACTTTTCGTTTCGATATGATTTGCATAATGATACATTTTAGTTTCAAGACTCCTGCTATCTATAGATCATAATAAAAACACTGTAAATCCTCACTGAAATATAGATGGCAACTCAGTTACCTTTACAAAAATTTACCTTTATTTCCTTTTAGATATTTTCCTTTTGATTTGAGTTTCGATATTAATTGTTGTCAAGATTTGAAATCTATATCAAGCTCTGTTTCCCACTTCAAAATCGTCCGTGCAGCAAAAAATTGCAACGCAGATGACAGCAAAGACACTCACTTCTTTTAAGTCTGGATTAGTTCGACAGTAGATGGCGCCCAACGTTGCTACTACAAAAATGAGAATATTCGTTAAAAAATCTTTCAATTTACTTTTGTCTACTTGCTCTCTATTCTAAGTATAGTTCCAATTTTTACTTCAGGACCCTTCCTATTAAAAAAACTTTAGCAAAGTCGCATACCACTAGCCTCCCTTGAACTCGTCCCTAGATGGCATCGTACATATTTCCTAGGAAAATTTGCATCAATAACTAAATTTAGCTTTTCCTACTTTTAGATAATTCCCTTGTCTTGATTTCCTATATTAATTCTCCTCCAAAGCTGGAACATATAGGTTTAAACCTTCAGGAATCCCTATTTCCTGTCATTATTATCGTCCATACGAAAGGAAATTGAAAGCAGGGCCACTCATCTTTTGTACCTCTTGTTACTGTTACTCAGAATGTTCCTCTTTTGGCTTTTTTGTTCTGGTTCTAGAAGGATCTATGAAATAGACATGGAGTACTGGTTAATTAAGAATTTCCATGAAAGCTAATTCCGCTGTAAATCCTTCAGCACAAAAAAAAAATTGACATCTATATGTGAAATTTGCTTTATTTGCAATTGAGAAAGTAGCCAAGGCATTCTTCTATAAAACGGATTGGGTTTTTTGCGTTCGAAGTGTTTTTTATTTTGGAGAAGGATCGATGTTCCTATCCCGAACTTGATTGTTGGGGACATATTTCTTATAATTGCCGTCGGGCCAAATTCCCCTATATGTGACTTGGGACAAAGTGTAAAGTGTCTATAGATGGCACTCCACATGGCTGCTTTCAAAAATGTCCATATGCCCCTATAAGTCCATGATTTGACAATTTTGAAGTATTTTTTTTTTTCAAAACTATTTTGTCCATACCAAAAATAGTCTTCCATTTTTATCCTCAATGCAAAAACCAGCAGAATTTGGATACTACGCAACGCCACCTTCATGCGAATGCAGCAACGCAAACGTTAGCAAAGACCTTCACCAACCCCATAATATTCGTCCATCTCAATAGATGGCAACCCATTCGGGTAATATTCCTAAAAAGGAGCTGATTATCACTACAGCCTAACTTTTTAAGGTCAGAAATCTTTTTCAACAAAAATATTTTGAGGATAAATTGTGATACCCTATAAAATAAAAAAAAAATACCATCAGAGCATGTATAATATAAAAATCCACCATCATGTTGTCGCACAAGCATTAGCAAAGATCTACAGTTCAATCGATGTCCCTGAAAAAGTTGAGCACCATATTTCACTTAAAATGTGACCTAACTTCAACTGTAGAAAACCTATAAAATTCTTAATCAATACGTCCGTGGAAAATTTTGAGAAACCTCAAAACCAGCAGAATATGGGTAAAACGAAACGCCATCCTGTAGTGAAGTTTGCAACACAAGCGTTAGCAAAGACACTCATTAATGTGGTCCCCACCTCTATAGATGGTACCACAATCAACTTGGTAATCCAATTGGAAGATATCCCTAAGAAAGTTGAGCATGATATTTCAATAAAAAGGTGACCTAACTTCAACTGTAGAAAACCTATAAAATTCTTAATCAATACATCCGTGGGAAATTTTAAACCTAAATGACAATACCAGCAGAATATGGGTAAAACGAAACGCCATCCTGTAGTGAAGTTTGCAAGACAAGCGTTAGCAAAGACACTCATTAGAGTTATGTCTCCCCACCTTAATAGATGGTAACATAATAAACTTGGTATTCCAAAGAAAATTGCCTCAGATTGTCTCTGAAAAATAAATTAATTTTTCATTTGGCTAACCATTAAATAAATACAGAATATTTCAAAGCAATAAATATCTCACACTCCTTAACATTAACGATCCTAAATTTAATTTACTGAAGCTCCATAAGGAAACAATATGGCATGTAGATGGAGGTATTTTAAAGAATTTTGTGCAACTGGTTATCAAATACATACATTTGTGATGTAGGCTCCATCTACATGTCATACTACAATATAACAATTATATTATCTGCTATTATAAGAAGTTTTTACACATTTCAAGCTTTTTCCCGGCGAGATTTCAAAAAACCGACTGATGGTAAATATAATCAATTCCTGATTAACTTTGATATCATAGTTCTTAATGATTTTATTCCATCATGTAATTGTGCGACTGCCAACCAATTAAAATGTTGTTCAATAAAAACAAAATAATATTCCAAAACATTCCCCAATTTCCATCCATAGCTTAAGATATTTGTAGTTTTAAGTAAAAAAAAATAGAAGAAGCAAAAACTAATTCTTCCACCATTACTGCCTTATTTCCTGCTCTTCCATGGTACAATTAAAATTGTAGCTCCCTAATTAATTGTATATTATTTTATTTGATTTCCTGTGTTTTAATTGAAGAAAAACGCAATCCTGTTAAGTTTACTTGCCTGAACACTTAGTGTTCAACCACACCCTCTTTCCTTTGGCAAATTCTTGTTCAAAATTTATTTTGAAACAAAAAAAAAAGAGTTTTTATTTTTAAGAATTAAATTAATTTTATCTACAATTTAGTTTATAATTAAAGTATTACTTTAAACATATAGTTTTTAAGTTACAAAATAAATTGCTTAATTTCCATTTCAATATATTGACAAAAGTAAAGAAGAATTTTAAATATTATGTTTTAGAGTTTATTTTAAGTTAAACTATCCATATTGAGTCTAGTTTGGATTTAATTTTGTAGTAAATAGTTGTAGGTGTAGTAGTAGTAGTAATTCGGTCTTAAACACATATTCATAATGAGCGTAACTATTACGAGTTGATTTATCAATCCTATAAAGTCTTCCTCTGTTTCAACAAATTTTATCTATTAAATAAAGTATACAAAATAAATATATTATTTGCAAAAACCAAATGATTTTCATTTAATAAAATTGACGGGTGTTCGATTTTTTATATGTTCGGCGGGGTGATTTTTTATAAAATCAAATTCAGAGTTTGGGCTGCAATAAAAATGGATATTTTAAGAATGTACAGTAATTTTTTTCCATATATATATCTTTTTCATTACATGTATTTTCCACGAAATCCTGAATTTCATTATTAGGTATTCTTAGGATCAGAAACCTTCATTATGCCCTATATCCTCTCTTAACTTTGCTCCATTCAGGAGAAAATTGCAATCCAGGCTATAGCAAAGACACACAATTCTATTAAGTGTTTACTTATAGGTGGCGCCCAACGTTGCTAGACAAAAATTGTCAATATTCTTCCGCAAATCCATGGGTTGAATTGCCGTTCTATTTTTTTTTTTTTTTTTTGTATTTGTGTTACATGAAGATTTAGGTTTGGACCAAAACTCTCGCACTATATTAAAACAAAAAAAAAACAAAAGCACTTTCCTCATTTAAATCTAGATGATAACCCACACAATCGTCTCAATATTTTTTTGTTATTTTCCAGGAAGATTTGTGTCCCAACCTCAACAGATATTTACCTTTTGTCTTCACTTTCGATATTAACTGTTTTCAGTAGCCAAAGTTTGGATCAAGCCCCAATATCCCCCTCTATACACTCGGCAAAAGACTTCAACGCTAATGATAGCAAAGACATCCACTTCTTGCTTGTTTCTTCTTTCGGAAATAGATGGCGCCATGTGACAAATATTCTTCACCAAATCTATTATATGGAATTTTACACTCGATATGTTTGACATTTATGTCCCATGTAAAAAAGCAGTAAGTTCGACCGGGCCGAACTTTGAATAGCCTCCACTATTTGGTGCGAATTTGGTAATTTTCAAAAAGATAACATCCACTAAAACTTCTGTTAAAATCTTAAAAATACTGAATATAGCCGTTATACTGGGGTCTATACGATGAAGTGGACCTGCATAGGCAAGTTTTGTTATAAGTCATTACGAAAATTAAAAAAAAAAATCCGAATATAGGGGGCGTACTGATATACAGGATGAGATGAAAAAACTGCAACCAACTTCAGACTGCTGTCATTTCTAAGCCACTCGTCCGACAGTTGTTAAAAATATTCCAGTGACAGCTCATTATATTGTTTGCAAGCGCACCAAAGCATTTTTGGTGAGAATTTTCTAGAAAAAAAGTTATTCGTGATGGAATTCAAGCGTGATAGTGTGATTTCTTTATATTTGGCTGGGAAAGCACAAGAGGCTATCGTAAGAGCACTCCAGCATTGAAATGTGAATAAATCTTTTGTGTCTCGTACCATCGCTCGTTACCGTGATACTGGTAGCATAGCCCGACGTCAAAGAAGTGGACGGAAGAAAACAGCAACATCAGCAGATATGGTTCAAAAAGTAAAGAAGCGATTTGATCGAAACGCGCGTCGCAGTGGCCGAAAAATGCCTCTGAGCATCAGCAAATATTGAAAAATGAGCTCGGGGTAATGCCATTGCAATTCCAAAAAGTGCAAGAACCTACACCGCAACAGAAAGAAAAAAGACCCAAAAGAGCTATAGAGTTACTTC